GGGGCAGGAACAGAAGCTTAGCTGGTCAGGGCTGAGGAGTGGACTCTCAGGGCTGAGAGAAGGGCACACAGTGCAAAATTCTTTCTCCTGAAGGAGGGAGTGTCCACAGCCCAGGCCTTATCCCTCAGGGGCCTTTTGTGTAGCAGTTGTGACAAATGATATACTCTTGTGGAAGCAAGCAGCTGCAAAGCCCCTTCCTTCCCTGTAGAGGGGGAAATCCTCTGGTCACCTCTCAGGTGGCAGGAGAGATGTGGATGTGTCCTATGCCACAGCAATTTTCATGGAGGATGGAAGGAAAGTCCCCCCACCACCAGGCCAAGATAAGATTTTATAACAATCAAAGTCTACTTCAGTGTGAGCTTCCATACAACATGCTGGTGATATTTCTTCAATTTTTTTGGTTGTTTTTATTTTTTTTTTCTTTAAAGTTCATTGATCGTCACAAAAACCCAGGAAATGCAACTAAGAAGAAAACAAATGTCCAACTGAGATCTAAGGACCCAGAGCAACGGAGGAGACGTGGCACTGGACCGCTGGGTGTGCACAGGGACAGGAGGGCTGATCCCCACGGGGCAGGGCTGCAGCGTGGAGACACAGGAGGGTATGAGGCAGCGGCCAGGTGGTTATGTTAACCGCTGCACGATGACGGCGTTGAGTAGGTTGGCTTCCTTTAGGGTCTGGTTCTCGTCAGCCAGCTCTTTGTTTGGGAAGGTAGTCATGAGGACAAAGCTGGTGGCAGCCATGGCTGGCCGGGCATCCACGATGAAGAGTCGGATGTCGCTGATCCTGGAGGAGTGGGGGTGGGCGGAGGCAGTGAGCAGGACCCTCCTTGGTGCCTACCATGGGGCTCTCAGAGGACGAGTCCATCCAGAGCCCATTTCCACGCAGCAGCCAAGCTGTCAGTATGAGGCCAGTCTCCCCCCCCCCCCGCTTCCTTCAGATGAACCCCAACATCCCCAGTGCGCTGCCACGGCCACCTACGCCTGCCCTCCCCCCTCATCCTCTTCTCCCTCTTTTGTTATCAGGCCACACTCCCCAACCACATTCAGTCTCCCCAGAAGCTCTCTGCCTTCCTGCAGGGAACCCTGACCACACCATGGGCCTCAGCGGGATGCCTCTCCCAGGGCAGCCTCGCCTGCTCCTGATTTCCACCCCACTTCAAGCAATGATCAAGTTTGTAAATAAACACTCTGGGATGCGCTGGAATCACTGCCCCTTCCTGAGAGGCACTCGAAGCTCTTTCAGCAACTCCTCAGGGCCAGGAATCCCTTCTCTACCTGCTGCTTGTGTCCTGAACCTGGTATGAGAATGATGTCCCCAGGAACAGCCTCCTCCCTAGAGTGCTCCCACGAAGTTCCCTTCTCTCCAACCCCTAGATTCTATGCATCTCCACCAGCTCAAGGCCTGGGGGTGCACAATGCAGCCCAAGGCCTGGGAAGACCAGTCCTCACCAGTGCCCGGCACAGGCTTCACCTGGGTGAAAGTATCCTTCTGGGGCTTCTGAGTGGACTGAAACTGAGGCAATAACTCAGGTCAGCAAAACGGGCCACTCCTCCTTCAATTCATACCTGGGCAAGCCTCCCGAGGCTCCAGCTCACACCTGGGCTTGTTATATGCCAAACCCTGGCCCCACATATGGGTCCAGGTTTGGTTGGCCCATGACTGATGAAATTTAAAGACATCCCTGCTCTCAAAAGAGGGGCTGTCACATATCTTTATTGGTGATAGCCCTTCAGCACCTCCCTTGCTGGTATCTTAAGCTCTGGTTGCCTTACTTTTTCCATCTAACACACAGAGGAGAGTTTGGCCTGACCCATCCCAGATAGCCTGAGACAGTGAGCAGGTATTGCCAGAATTCCCAAAGACCAGATCCAGAAAAATCTTAATAGCCTAGTGGTTTTCAGAGGCCTTGGGGGAGAGGGGTGGAAGAAGCCAGGTGGGTGAGGTGTGGGCCCTGAACCCTCCTCCTCCACCAACTACAGCAGTTCTAATTTGATCTCTTCTGTACCCAGGCTTTGGTATGATACCTCCTTTGAAGAAAGAATCTAGTGACTTAAAAATCCCAAGGATGAGGAACAAGACCCACAGGAAGGAGTGAGCTGCCCTTGGCACACTAATGGAGGAGGAGGACAAAGACTTCAGACTCGCAGTGCCCCTCCTCCCTGCCTAAGGAAAGCCTGTTCATGCTCAGAACAGCTCCTTGCTTCCCAGGCTCCAGGTCATTGCTAGCAAAGCCAGGCCAGGCCAGGCAACACGCCGTACCTGTGGCTGTGGTTGAACTTCTGCACCAGCCTCCCGCCATCAGCAAGCCTGATCTGGATGTTTGTGGTCGGCTCTGACTCATCGATCAGGATGGAGGAGCTGGCTTTGGCTTCGTTTTCCGCCTGCTGGGCTGGGGAGCTCGTGTTCAACAATTGGGGGGCCGTGCTGAGGGGAAAGAGGCACATCAGCACAGGAACAGGGGGGGACTCGTCTCAGCATGCTGGTGGACATCAGATGTGATCCTGGCCTGTGTTTGGTGCTGCTGATCTAGAGACCAGACAGGAGGAATCCCAGCCCTGAGGGACTCGCGGGCCCAGGAGAATCCACCCTAGCACCAAGTCACTGCTGCCTCCCTCTCTCCTGAGGAGGCTTGGGCCAGTTACTCGTCCTCACCTGCCCAAGGCCTTGAAGGGAGGAAGCCTGAGGCAGAGGCAGCCTTGGCATAGTCTGGCAAGTGACCAGCTGGGATGAAATGTTCAGGCCCGCGCCCTCAGTGCGACCTCATTCATGTGTGTATCTCACATACATGTGCCCCCAAAGGCCCCATCTCACCCCCATCACTGGCACGAGTGCCAGGTCTGTTGGGATTCATTATACAGTGAACAGGATATGGTGTCTGCCAGTGTTGAGATCAAATCTTTGAAGTGGGTGGACTAGGGTGTGAATTCACCCACTAGCTCAGTGACCTTGGGCAAGTTAATCAAGCTCCCCTAATTTCAACAAATGTAACAGGACTTTTTTTTGATGTGTGGTAGTGGAGATTGAACCCAGGCCTCACACTTGCTAGGCAAGCATTCTACCCTTAGCTATATCCCTAGCCTTTTAAAAATTTTAACTCGAGACAGGTTCTAAATTGCTAAGGTTGGCCTCTAACTCGTGGTTCTTCTGCCTTCTCTCTTGGGAGCTGGGATTACAGCATGTAACACTACACCCAGCAGTTAGCAAGGACTGGTAACCAGGGTTGAGGCTGCCTGTCTTGCTTAGCTGTTGTGAAAATTAAAGGAGAATTGCATGAAGTAGTCTGGGTGATGGAAATGCACATACAACTCACTCCCAGTTCTCCATGAGCCTTCTTGCCACTAAACCACCCACCTGCCTTGTTCTTAGCCTTCCTCCTAGCAGATGAGCTGGGCCAGAACTTTGCAAAGAAAGGTCATTAGGTAAGAGTTTGATGGCTTCTTCTCAAAAGCACCTAATTAGATAAGTTCCTGTACCCAACTCTTCCAATTTTTATGACCTAAAAAAAGCATACTTGTGGAACCAGGCATAGTGGTACCTGTAATTCCACCAACCTGGGGGACTAAGGCAGGAGGATTACAAGATCAAGGCCAGTTTCAGCAACTTAGAGAGACCCTGTCTCAAAATAAAAATGGAAGAAAGGACTGGGGGTATAAGCTCAGTGGTAGAGTGGCCCTGACTTCAATCCTCAATACCAAAATAAATCAATAAAAAAGGGTATTTGTAGCAAATCCAACTGAAGGTGCTCTTCAAAGTGTGCTCCACAGGACACTTGTCCCTTCAGACACCTGCAGGAAGGTTTAGGAAACATCACATACTATTCCAGTGGCATCACAGGGCATTAGCATGTTCAGTGCCTTGAGAAAGGAGCAGTGACGGCATCTCATTGACTACCAGGCCCTTTTCAGGTGTTACACTTATTAACCTCTTGCAGCAGAAGTCAGGGAAACCAGTGTGTGAAACACTGCCCAGGAACAAAAAATAACAAAAAGTCAACATTCTTTTCTGTGAAAGTGAAATATAGGCTTAGAGAAGACAAACTTGAGCTCAGAGGCGAATGTTTGCCACATTTGTGCATAAGGAACTGCTCCTGCTCATCAGCCTCACAGCACATGGGATTCAAATGTGGGCAGAACCCACAGGTAAATCACACCGTCCCAGGCCCAAGAGACGCCTGGAAATAGTGCAAGTGCCTGTAAATGCCTCCTCTCTTCTAAAGCTGTTTTGTTCACTAGTTTTAGGGGCATTAGACTACAACTAGACTACAGACAGCAGACCCCTCAAGTTAAGAACAAGTCCAAGTACACATGACAGGTATTCATGTCATGGTACAGCATGATGAACACGAGAGCTGCTTATGAAGTACCTCTACCAAGCCAATTCCTACGCTGAACACTTCATACATATGAACTCACTTAGGCCTCAGCCCACAAGATGGGGGCTCATCACCTCCACTTTTCAGATAAGAAATGGAGGTGTAGTGGGGTCAGGCAAATTTGCCCAAGAAATCAGTGTTGGTTTGAGGTAGAGCCAGGATACAAGCCAAGCTGTCTGGCTCTGGTCCTGTGCTCTTTTAACACTGTCACATTCTTGTGCCAGATAGGGGAGTCAGAGAGATTAAGGCCTGGATTTCAGGAACCTGACCCCAAGACTCAGTTTCCTCATTAGTAAGAGTTCAGCACACTCTCCAAGGTTGAGAAAATAGCTAAAAATATGCACTGTACCAGGCATATACAAAAATGTCTACGTGGCTGTGAAGAACATCTAGGATTCCTTCAGCAAGACGGGCAAGAGCAGAGACTGGAGGGAACCCTGTGTGGCACTGACCAGCAATGTGGCCCTGGGTAAGGCCTGGCCTCTCCAAGCCTCAAAATCCTTATCTGTAGATTGAGGATCAAAATAGAATTAAAGGAGACAATACACAGAAATGACTCAGTGCTCAGCCGACAGAGAAAACCCCTCAAATAGCTGCTTACTATCTTTTTTCAAGATTCTGCCCCATCATGTTTGCCATCACTTGGCAATAGCACTGTCTACCCATGGGCTGTAAGTGGAAGTCACCTACAATGTACTTTCAACCAATGCTGCTCTCAGGATGGATGGGGTGGAGGAGAAACTCCATCACTGGGCCTCAGAGTGAGATGCTCAAGAGTATTAGTTCACCATGTAGGACAGATGCACGCTTCTGTCCAAAGGACCAACCTGTATCTAGTTTCCTGAGAACTGCTCCCATGTGGGCTACTGCAAAAGTGAGGGCATTTCACCCAGAGGCTGGAGAGGCTGAAGCAGACTTTAGAAAACAAGGCATTTCTAGTATCTCCCTGCAAACACTATAAACATTCACAAGTCACAAGGAAACTGAGTCTCTCAGAGCAAGACCCTCAGCCACCTAACTGTTCATTGCCTTCATAGTGGAAAAAACTGGCATTAAGATACTTTCTTGTCATAATTTCAAATCCTGAGACTCAGCCAGGCCCGGTGGTGCACGCCTGTAATCCCAGTGACTCAGGGCTGAAGCAGGATTCAGTTTGAGGCCAGTTTCAGCAATTTAGCAAGACCCTGTCTCAAAATAAAAAAATGAAAAGAACTGGGGATATCAGTGGTAAAGCACCCTGGGTTCAACCCCCAGTACAAAACAAACAAGAATAGAACTCTAGCTGGTTGCTGTGGTGAACATTTGTAATCCTAGCAGCTTGGGAAGCAGATAAAAAACCAAAAATCCAAAACCCCCCAAATAAACAAAAACCTCCAGAAACATTTATTTCAAAAGTTACCATAAATGGTATAGTTGTTGATTGATTTAAGTGTTTTACAGGTGTCCCACATCTAGAATGATGGGACTTCATGGGTTAATAATGAAAAAAAAAAAAAAAAATCGGGTGCTCTCCAAAGCTCATCACAGCTACCAAGGAAGTTCACCTGAGAAAGACACCCTCCAAGTGGCAGATGGATGAGGCGAGCAGGCCAGCTAATGTAACTATTTTGGTTCCGGTAAGTCACAAACCACTGGTCTCTAGTGTCCTGAGCTCTGATTCTTGCTCCTTGGCAAGGACAGACAACAGGGAGGTAGGGAAACCAGGAGAGCACCAGCCAGAAGCTGAAAAGGGCCTCGCTGCTGGCACACCAGGCTCTGAGTCCGTCAGATGGCTGTGAGGAGAAAGGCAGAGAGGGGGTCCTGCTGTGCAGGAGCATGGTAAGGAATACCAGTTAGAAGGCTTCAATACCAATCCCAGCTCTGCCACACACCAATCATGTGTCCAAGGGCAAGCTAAGAGCCAAAGAGCAGAGGCTTTCTGCGTGTAAAACCAGGACAGTACTGGCAAGAGAGGGTCACTTTGCTGAGTGTCAAATGCAACAGTTCCTTCAGAAAAACACTGACAAAGTGAACCCATGGCCACGGTCAAAGCTGAGTGGGACCCTGAGAGAAGGCAGCCTGCCTAAAAGGGTTGTTAATCCCAAAGCCCACACTCTCCATATTCTTCCTCCCATAAAAATAAAATCTGAATGCCTCTGAAAATGGTAAAAAGCTATCCACAGTGAGGACACAAGGTCTGCTGGGCCTGGCCAGTGTTCTTCCTTACCTGCCTAGTTTCTGGCCCTCACCAGTGAAGGCTTTGAAGGCTCCCTTGGGCTTCACGAAGTCCTCGTCCCGATGGTCCTCCATATCCAAGTTCACCTGCCCACCATGTGCTAACCTCCGCAGCTCAGCTGGCACCTCCCTGAGAAGGAAAAGGCAATACTGGGGCTTGCAGAGGGCAGGATGGAGGGTAAGGAGAGTGCCACTGGTAGGGACCTGCTGCTCCAGTGGCTTCCTGTCTACCTCTATCTTCTCTTGTCTCCTTGGTCACAGTGGACAACTATTTCTTATTTTGCTATTTGGCTTTGCTCTAGACCCAAAGGGGAAAAATGGACACAATATTTTTGGAGCAGATCTGTTCATCTGTATTTCAACTGTGCTAAACCTGCTTCAAAAAATTTATTTCTCAAATCATGTTTTGCCTCGTCCTTTCCTATCGCCATCTCATTCACTTATTTGGAACTCAAAGGAGGGCTTTTCTCTTACCCTCTGCGGATAGACTCCAGAAACTGGGCATTGGCTGGGTCTTGGTAGCTTCTGAGTTCACCATTGTCCAGGCTGAATCCACTTTTCCAGAGCTTCAGCACTACATGAACCTGGGATGACAGGAGGTAAGCAGTTGTTATTATTTTTGGTACTGGTAACTGAACCCGCGGTACTTTACACTGAGCTACATCCCCAACCTCTGTAATTTTTTATTTTGAGACGGGTTTTGCTAAGTTGTTGAGGCTATCCTTGATCCTGTGATCCTTCTGCCTCAGTCTCCTGAGTTGCTGGGAGACATGTGCTACCAGTCCAGCAGGTGGTAGGCAAATAAAACATTGACAGGAACCTGGAAAGCACACCGATTTGAATCTGCAAATCAGTAAGCTTTTACTATTTCACCACATTATTAAACAGACAAGCAAACATACATATACACATGTGTGCAAAGGGAAACCAATCAACAACAAAGCAAATAAGCATTAACCTAAAGTAAGAAGGTGACCCGGTACAAGCTGGGAGCATAGGCATTGTATTAAGGAAGCCTGGGGTTGTGTCCTGACTTTGCCACTCACTGGTGAGTTGGCTCTGAGCAGATGACAGATGACTCGATTGAAGCTGTGGCCTGCTCCTCTGTAGGACTGCCAGTGTGGTTGGTATGTAGCTAGTGTTTTAATAAAATACCTTGGCAAATCTACTCCTGGACTATTTTGCAATCATTAAAAAAATGATGTCTACAATTTCTGTCAACAACAACTCCCTATATATATTCTCAGAAGAGTTTAGAAGGCTAAAAACAAATGCCTTAGTAACTGCTGCCACAAGAGGACAGGATTTATACTTTCAATTCTGACTGACTTTTTTATTTTGGAACAAAATCCAAAATGATTTAAACATATATTATACAAAGTTATATTCAGGCTGGAGTTGTGGCTCAGTGGTAGAGCACTTGCCTAGCATGTGTGAGGCATTGGATTAAATTCTCAGCATAAAAATAAAGAAAGGTATGGTGTCTATCTACAACTAAAAGTATATTTTAAAAAAGGAACTATTCACAAGGCTACATGAAAGTGTTTGTGGCATAATATTAATGTTTTAAAAAGATTAAAATTTATTCATATGGTATGATTGCAAATTATAGGAGAAGGTCCCTATGCATATGGAAAAAAGTACTGGACAAGTAATAAGGCAAAATAGAGAATCCCAGATACAATGTCCATATGCCTGAGATCCATGGAATGCCCAGAAAACTTCATTTGGCCACCCCCCCACCCCCGCCATCCTTTCTCACCAGCCCCTCGACCAGCCAGATGAGAGGCGCCCCAGTAAGCCCCTCTATTTAGACCACACAAGGACACCATTTCTACAGACACCCCCCCCCCACCGCCAAGAGGCTGCTGGTTCACATACTACACACAACTGATCCCTTTCAGAAAAAAGGGCAAAATAGCCCCCAAACTTCCCCGAGGAAGGCGGGCACACTCACGTCTTGGCTGGAGTGCCGCCTCCTTTCCCCTGCCACGTAGGCAGACTCTTCTTCTGGTGCTGCCCCAAGGCGGTAGCCACCACCTGCAAATGGCTATAAAGGACAAGTTCATAAACACCTGGTAATAGGGCTTAGATTCAATGATGCATCTTAGGTGAATGAAAGAAAAGAGGCAGGGATTCTGATCACGCTTATTCACCACTAGATGTGCTTTCTCTGAGTAACTCAGTGCCCACAGGGCCAGGCACTATGGCAGATGAATTAAGTAACCAGGATTAGGGTAAAAACAGGAAAGGGGAGGGGGAGCACAGTTAGATGAAATAGCTATTAAACTCTAGTTAATTACAGCCATGTAGGAATCTAGGAGCAGATTAATTCCAAAGTCTTTTTCATTTCCCCAAAGGCAGAAATTCAGATTTTATATCAAGTTGGTGGCAATTAAAGTCAATTAGAACAAAAAAACCCCTGAGTTGGTCAAATTGGATAGGCCAAGACAACACGCCTGCAGTTCTGAATCTAGACTGCAGGCCAAAGGTTTGAAAATTTTGCCCCCAATTGTGGTTGCATGTTAAAGGATGGGAGAAACTATACTAGTTTCTGCATAGGAGACCAAGTAAGCAAAGGGGGAGAGAAAACAAACCAGTCAAGACTGATTGGATGAACAAAGTCTCCTTTTCCAGGCGAACCCTGGGTCTTATGGGCACAGACAGGGACCTTCATGCTCACTCTAGGTTTACTGGTCTCTCCCGGGCTCTTGGTCACTCGTTCCACAGCTACAGCTCCATGCTCCTTGGCACCTTTAAAGAGATCATCCACCAGCTCGTTGGGACTTCTCTTCCGGGGAGGGCCAACAATCTGCTGTCCACTTCTCTCTGAGCCCCCAGCATAAAACCTGTGTAGAAAATAAGCTTCTAACACTAAATGCACACAGAAAACAAAAAGAAAACAAACACAGCATGCGCCAGGTTCTGGGCCCAGTGCTGGGCCCACTGGAGCAAAGGGCACAATGCCCGTCTTAAAGGAACTTACTGGCTAGTTGGGGACACATACAACAGAGGCAGGCAGGCACAATGCAATGTGAGCAGCCATGACGTCAGAAAGGGGACTCAGGCACAATGAGAGGGGAGGACAGCCTCGGCTTCCTACAAAGGCATCTTCCAGGCTGAATCTTGAGGATGAGTAATCAGGTGAAGGGGTCAGGGAAGGGCATTCCAGGCATGCACAGCACCGTGCCAGCACAGGAGCATGCCAGCCGGGAACCGTCCGTCCCCTGCGCCTCTTCAATAGACAGCAACTACAGTCCTAGCCAGGTGAGGCTACCTCTAGTAGCTCTGGGTTAATGGTGGCAGTGGCAGGGTTAGTACAAGCAGCTAGGCTCCAGCACTGGCTCTGCCACTGTGACCTGGGTAAGCCAGTGCTCTATTCTGGACACTTTCCTTGTCTTTGAAATGGGAGGGAGGAACCGCATGCCCTACCTACCTGCTCCTTAAGTCAGGGCGGTGAGGTTCAAATCAGCAGATGTATGCAAAAGAACAAGCAGAGTAATGCACACACGTGAGGTGGTATGACAGCACCAAGAGCTCCCCCAAGACTCACCTCACCATTGTGGTGACACACACTGGAGAACCAGAGGCAATAGTACTTGAGAAGGCCAGGGAAGCCCAGATCTCAAATACAAGCCCCCACACAACCACATGGGGCTTGGTAATGGGTTAAGGGTGGCTTGAGATTAAATTAGTAGTTTTTTTTTTTTTTTTTTTAAACTTGAGCCTGAAAACCAGTTGTCATGTAGCTGCCTTATTATCACTCTTAGTCACAGCCAAGTCACAAAACCTAGGAAAATTAGTTCCAATCTTCTAATTCCTAGAATTCACCTGGGAATGTGAAGCAAAGTTTAGGTCCTGACAGGGCAGTGTCATTCAGGTCTGAAATGCTGAGGGGCCAAGGGAGCTATGGATGTGAAATAATGAGGGCTGGAGAGGAAACGGTGGAGGCCATTTAGGAGCCCAGCATTCACATACTTAATGACAACACATTTCACTCAAGGAATATAAAACCCTAAAATTAATGTATGTTACTGAACTTTGTATTTAAATGAAGGTTCTGGGGAACACAATATAGGTGAAATAGAAGAACACATATAATTTCTCAGCCCTCTTGCCAAAGACTAACCAATTCGAGGAAGCTGCATTTCCATGATTACATACAATGTTTCTTAGGAATATTTGGTGGACCGAGGCAGACCCATGGAGAACCAAAACCCATAAAATGAGGCTGAAGCCAGTTTATTCCCATTCAGTCCAGCTACAGTTCTGCTCAACAGACTGTAAGGTTTTTACTAAAGGATCTCCAAGCCTTGGCTTAAGAACTGGGAGCCTAGGATCAAGAGCCTTAGGAATATGCATGCCCTTGACCTGGTATTTCCACACCAGGAATTATCGTAAGCAAGTAACCTGAAATTGGGTCAAAGATTAATACACAAAGATGCTCACTGCACTGATATTTATAGTAGTAAAGAAACTGGAAACAGCTAAGGATGCATCTCAGTGATAGAGTACTTGCCTGATATGCTCAAGGCCCTGAATTTAATCTCCAGTACTGACAAAAACAAACAAACAAAACCCAAAATACCCCCAAATAACAAACAAACAAACAAAAACTGGAAACAACCTAAATGTTGGTTAGTCCACATGACAGATTTTATTTAGCCACTGAAGTTGCCATGTGTGATGGCACATGCCTGTAATCCCAGAGACCAGGGCGGCTGCTGAGGCAGGAGGTCGTCATGTTCAAGGTCACCCTATACAAATTAATAAGACCCCGTCTCAAAAAATTAAAAGGACTTGGGATGTAGGTCAGTGGCAAAAAGAGAAAGAACACGCTCATGAAGAATTTTAATGACATGAAGGGCTTAAGACCTAGCATCAATCCAACAAAAGAAACCAAAATCTTGATCTTCACCTTGCAAAATACAACACAGGACAAAGACCCATTGGGAATATACCAAAATATTAACTGCAGTTATCAAAGGGTAAGTGATTATTTTATATTAGTTCTTATTTTCCACAATGGACATTTTTTTTAACTTTTAGGAATGTTCTAATAAAATCAATCTCTGTGTGTGTGTATTGGGGGAGCACACATTTAAAAGCCTATTACTCTATTTATTATGTGATGTACTGCTTTATCTGTAAAAAGAAAAAAGCTGGAAAGAAATACATCAGAAGTACTGACACCCGGTTATGTCTGTGTTGATGTGAATGACTTTTTCCTTTTGATTTGTTCCTGTCCCATAATATTCATCAATAAGTACACAGTTTTAAAAACAATTTAACAAGACAAACCCATACAACCACAAAAGGGTGAGGGAAAAGTAACAGAGGACAGGGATCACTTCTAAGCTACAGGGAGTACGGTTAGAATGTACCCCTATCCCCAGCAGTAAGACTAACAGTGACCCACATGTGTTCCATGTCCTGCTCTAGGTGATCTAAGCACCACTGTGGGATGTACCCCATCAAAAACTTACCTCTGTCCTTCCTCCTCCTCCTCCTCCTCATCTTGGTCATGAATGAGGTCTCTGAAAGATGTCACCCTATTATCACTGGAGACACAGAAAGGAGCAAAATGATTTTGGGGAGTTTAAAGAAGGTAAC